AGAAATAAAGAAAGCATTTAATAAAGAGGTTGAAAGTGTAGGGGAATTTGTTTGTAATGGTGCTAGAGGAACCACAAAACATTGGGGTAAGTCGTATAAGAGAGGTTGACTAGAGGGGTTTTTCTTTACAAGGTAATAGAATGGAGAAAGATGTCAGGATGAGAGACTCTGGAGTTACAACCAGAACTCATGCACACCCACAGGGTCCCAAGGCCAAATGATGTTTTCAGTTTGTGAAAACAGTCAGCAATTTGTGGCCTTGTTCTAGGTTCCAACAGAATACGGGGGATATGCTTAGAAAGTGATATTCGTTTGAGCTTTTGCTTTCTGCTATATCAACCCAGAGCTGATCAGGCTAAGTCTTATCAGCCCAAGACTGGGGTTAGGATGAGTCTTAATATAAATGACCAGTACTCACAGAATATTCTGGAGAGATAAACACATTTTAGTGTTCCTAAAAATAAAACAAAGCAAAATAAAACAAAAACCAGTTTTCATTTAAGCTTCATTCAATCGCTCAACTTTTACTGAAGGCTAGGGCTCAAATATGTGGAGGTTTTTGTTTGTTTATTTGTTTTAATGTCACTGAGTAATAAGTAGTGTAGCTATTAAGAGCTTAGGTTCTATAGACATAGTGGAGACCTAGCTTCAAATCCTGGCTCTGACGCTGATGGCTGTGTAACCCTGGGTATATGGTTTGACCTTACTAAGTCTCACTTTTCTCACATATAAAACAATGATAATACAATAATATAAGGCCTATCTCATAAGATTGTTGAGATTAAATAAGCTAACCCTGGAAGTACTTTGCACATGGTCAGTGTTCCATAAATGATAGTTACTAAGTGTGAGCACCCAAGCCAGGTACTAGGGAATATGAAAATGAATAAGATGCAGTCTTTGCTGTCAAGGATCTCAAATTTTAGCTAGAGAGACAGGTATGTAAAAAAATAATAATCCAGTGCTGATAAATGCTCAACTCAGAGTATCCACTAGGAAGTTCTATGGGAGCATGAAAGCAAGGGCATTTAACTTTGTCTGTGAAGGGAAGACAGGAAAAGACCTGCCAAAGGAGAGGAAGCCCAAGAGTAAGTCTTCAAGAATAAGGACTAATGGGAGTGAGCCACACAAAGCAGGAGGGAGGGTGGAAGAAGTAAGACTTTCCAGGCTTAGGCCTACCATGTGCAGAAGCTTGGAGGGAAGGCAAAAGCTGGCAGTTTAAGGGGCATGGTATGGGTATGGATAGTGGGTCCATGGTATGGATAGAGGTTGGAGAGGTAAGCTAAGAACAGATAGATCACGCAGGCCCTTGGATAACATGCTGAGGAGCATGAACTTTAAACAGACGGTTAGTGAGGGAGGGCATTTAAGGACCTTAAAGGCAAGAATGGCATCCGGCCACAGAGTAGAGAGATGAATGAGAGGCTGCAAAATTGCAGGCAGTGAGACCAGGTGAGAAATGCTGGTGCCTTGGATTAAGATAGAGGTTTGTGGAGATAAAAAGAAGAAGTGGATTCAAGACAAGTTTAGGAGATAGAATAGAGAGAACTTAGTGACCAATTAATGTAGAAATAAAGTAGAAGTCAATGATGACTCCTAAATTTCTTGTTTAGGCAGCTGGGCCAGAGCTGGATTACCCAGTAGCCAGAGTAACCATGTGCTTATGGCATCTAGCAAGTCAGGGGTGTCCAGAATGTGGAGAATTTTGATTCTGGATATATAGCTTTAAAAAAGACTCAAATTAACTATCATAGGAACATTAGAACTTTTTGGACTTTCTTACTTTTTTGTGCTTTAGTATTGTTTTTATTTGAATTATATACTTGTATTGGAGAAGGGGATCATAACCTTTCCATTGTTTAGAGCCTCCCAAAGGAGGAGGAGTCTAAGGCCCTACTCTTTCTCTAATCTGGGTGGTTAGTGGTATCATTTCACTGGAGGAGGAGCTAGTTTGGGCTGCCTGCCTGTGTTATGCTTAGCCCTGATTAGGCTGGTAGGGGACTGACAAGCAGGTTTCCTTCTAGGGAGACACCGTTAAGCCAAATCTTCACATAACTCAACACAAGTGGAGTGTTTTTGTCTAAGTCAATATGCTACAAATGTGTAGCCAATACTAAAGAGAAGGTAGGAGAGTTTATTTGCTGGCAAGAGAGGTCATGAATGCAAGTTGATATAAAGATTGGAGATATAAATTAAGGTAGAGGCGCTTAATCTGGAGCCCAGGGGAATTACGAACCTCTGAAAAGTATATGCAAAATTGTGTGTATGCATATAGTACTTTGTTATGGGCAGAAGTTCCACAGCTTTTTTCTTATTTTTCGAAGTGATCTTTGACCCAAAAAGGTTACCAAGAGCTGGATAGTATAAAGTGAATGAAGCTGCTTCTTCAGTGTTCCTCACTTGCCTGGGACCCTTTCAAGGCCCTAGAAGAGACCCTAGCAATTTTCATATTTGTGATTTGTTACTGTTTTTACTTAAAGGGAGCCTTCCTCTCAAATTACAGTTGACCCTTGAACAATGCAGGAGTTAGGGGCACCAACCCCCTATGCAGTCGAATATCTGTGTGTAACTTTTGACTCCCCCAAAACTTAACTACTGATAGCCTACTGTTGACCAGAAGCCTCATCAATAACATAAATGGTTGATTAACACGTTATATGTATTTTATATTGTATTCTTACAATAAAGTAAGCTAGAGAAAAGGAAATGTCAAGAAAATCATAAGGAAGAGAAAACACATTGACGGCACTATATGGTATTTACTGAAAAAATCGACATATAAGTGGACCCATGCAGCTCATACCTGGGTTGTTCAAGGGTCACTGCATGTAAAATGTTGTTTGGTCCCACAATAATCTAGATCCACTCGTGCCAACCACAGATTAGGGAATTAACTGAGTTAGTATCTGGGAGTGGATGCAATCTAAGAACAATGGGTATAAAGAAAGGATTGCAGAAGGCCAAAGACTGCACTTGGAAAGGCAGAAGGAGGAGCAACAATGAGGAAAGAATCGTCACTAAGGCAAGACAAAGGTCAGGCCACATCATTAAGGAAGTGGAAAGAAAGCTGTTTAACCATGTCCTGCATGGACAGGAGATCAGGAAAGAGGAAAAATAGAAAAAGATTACAGTAGTGGCTAGGACACCTTCAGTGGAGTGGCAAGAATAGAAGGCTGGTTGTTCTTTTTTTAAAAAAAGATGACTGGTAAGGGGATCTTAACCCTGGACTTGGTGTTGTCAGCACCACGCTCAGCCAGTGAGCGAACCGGCCATCCCTATGTGGGATCCGAATCCGAGGCCTTGGTGTTATCAGCACCGCACTCTCCTGAGTGAGCCACGGGCCGGCCCTGAAGACTGGTTGTTCTGTTTGCCTTTCTGAAAAAGTAAATATGGTAGCTACAGTCCACAAGCATGCAGGGGAAGTACGAGTATCAACAGAAAGCTCTAAATTTCACTGTTCATTTAGGAATATATCCATCAATGAAGTAGGCTCACTGTAAAAATGGAATCTGTGCTGAGGTTAACTTAGGAGACATATATTTACTTTATCAAAATGAGTCCTAAATGTGTTCTATGACCAGGCAAAGGCTTTGAGTGACTCTTGTCCTCCTGCCTCAACCTTTCTTTCCTGATCATGTATAGTCCCTCTCACTACTTGAATTTCCATATTTCTGCCCCATATCTCTGTCCTCTGGCTGGAGATAAGGTAAAAAGAGAAAAGAAGTCATTAGAATGGCACTTGAACATGTAAGATTTTGAATTTAAAATTTATCATGGGTAACCCACAAAGCCAGTAATACGTATATGGTTAATTGAGTGTTGTCTGTAATTCAGGCCAAGGAAACATCTATTTGAACCAGAATGTTTTAAATTGGCCACCCTGGCAATTCTGAAGTTGATTGGTTTGAACTGGATAAGCCTGGTTCATGCTGACTTGCCCAGTATTAGGAGGGTGAGTATTATTTTTTTTTTCAGTGTGAAAAGCAGTCTTATCAGACATACATGCTCAAATCTGCTAATATGTCTTTTATGGAAGCTACTAAATGCCATTTTAGAACATTTCCACAGTAACTTCCTCCTGAGATCCATTTCCAGATAGATAAATTTCATTATAGTTCTAGACTAACTTTCTTCTGTGATGATATCTTTAAAGGCTTTTAACTTATTAACTATCAATATGTTTACTCATACTTGTGTCACTATGAAAAATCTGTTACTTGAGAAGAGCAATGATTTGGAATGGCTGATATGACAGAATATAATGGGGACATGGAAAAGTAGCTACAAACTAGAAAGACTAAACCAAATAACTGGTTTGAGGTTTCTAAGAACTAAATAAAATTAATTTAGTAAAAAGTGGCAATTTGTGGCTTTTTACTAGCAAAGTGCTGGGTAAAAAATGATTTTAATGATAAAGAAAAATTTGTAACATCATTGATTTGCAATAGTATTCTTGTTGAAAGAAGACCAAGAGTCTGTTCAGATATGCTTCATAATGTAAACATGTAAATTAAAGAAGTTCTAACTACTTGATATTTGGCTATAGTCAACATGGAAACAATTCATAACGTTTTTATAGATAGTTGAAGTGCTTTTCTTTTCTTTTCTATTCTTTCTAATAGTAAGCCTTTGCTTGACTTGAGCATAATGAATTTTTTCTTTAGTAAGTGGTATTTGATTCAGCAAAGCCTGTTAAACACACTATACCTAGATACCAGTCGATTACACCATTAGGCTGGTAAAGGACATAAATAAGTTTAAATGAGGGTTTTGTTTGAATTGGATTTTGGAAATTTTTGAATTATTTGTACATAACATTTTTTGTCAAACTCTCAGCCACTTCTGCAAATAAAATTGGAATTTTTGGAGTTAAATATTGTTAAAATTGTGTTGAAATCAATTGCCTTTTAACTTTGCAATTGTTTTTATGAACCTAATTGTACAACGTATGGATGCCAAAAAATACTCCAAATAAATACATGTTAACGTTTTGCCTTTAGCCAATAAGAAGAAAGAGAAAGAGCGCCCAGAGATCTCTCTTCCTTCAGACTTTGAGCATACGATTCATGTGGGGTTTGATGCAGTCACCGGGGAATTCACTGTAAGTAAGCTCCTCATTTTGTTTTGTCAGCCATGAAAACATTCCTTTGTGAAAATAGGTTTCAAACAAGAATTGCCATGTCCCCAAATGTCAGACTTGATGTTTTTGATGATTCCAAGTAAGATGGACTTTACCTAGATAATCATAGATGGAAGCAGAGAGTGGCAATGACCCTGGCAGAATTATTTTGTCTTAACAAAAATGTCTGATCACTGAAAAATCTTCAGCTTAGTTAAAACATTAACTTACCATGGCACAGAAAAATGTGGTCCTGGTAGAGAAACCCTGCCTGAGTCTGTTCTTTATAATGTGAAGTGAATCAAAAAATCATCTACTCAACTTGGCTAGTGAAGACAATTCATCTGAATAATTCAGACATTACATTGGAACCTGGATTTCTCAGATCAGCTAACCACAGTAACCAAAAATCTCTATAAAACTGACCTGTTCTTTCCCTTTCATTTCAAGAATACAGCTTATTTTTAGGATTATTAATGGCTATATTTTGTAGACATTCAAAACAGCAAACCCCATGTTTCAGGAAGAAATGTTGATGGATATATTATGTACGCTTTAGTAGTTATGTGCTTTCTTTATACATATATGAACAATCAATAATAAATGCTAATAAGAATTTTCTGGAGAGAACATAGCTATAGATCAAGTCTTTCTCTGGATATTTGTAGCGCTCAAATAGCACAAGATCACCGATCTATGACATTTTATACTTTTTTTTTAAGATCTGGCAATTTTTTTTTCTTTTTTCTTTTTCTTTTTTGTTTTTTTAATGTGGGTGAGGGAAAAGATGTGGCTAGAAATATGTCCCCAGGAAGGTCAACTACCTTTTTTTCATGCTAGTGAAGAACACAATCAAAATTTGCATTCTGAAATAATGAGTAATTTTGAATACATTCAGGAAAAAAAATTTTGATAGAACCATCAACATCAATTCTTGGGTTGTTAAGCCAGAGAAAAATTTCGATATTAAATAGTTGAATTTTCTGTTTTATAACATGATGGTTAGTGAATAGACTGTGTCGTGATTAAGTGAAAACAAAGAAGCAAATTAATTTGATGTGGAGAAGCAAACCATGTCGTTGAACTGACAGCTAAATTATCTCATTTTTTTTTCAATTCTGGAAGTAAGCAATATGAGAATGAAATGAAAACTGAGTAAACATCTTGGCTTCATAAAATGGTATGAGCTGATTATTTCTGCATTCCCAATTACAAGCAGAAGAGAATGTTAAGAAATATTGACAATGATAGAGTGGAGGTAGGTAAGATTTAACCAATTTCATCATTGGAGTCAGAGACATTCGAATGGCCTTCAGTTTGAGCCCAGCCTTTACTATATTTTCTTAGCTACACTGAGAAACTATAACCTCACTATTACCACTACCACCACCATCATCACCAGCAGAAAAAAAGTCATTTTTATAACCTGAAAAAGTTTTATATTTTTTAAAAAGTCATAAACAAAGAGATTATTTTCTGACATTTGAAACAGAAAAGGCCCTTAAACTTCATAAAATTTTTGTCTAATAACTCTATTCTTTTTTATTTTAAGAACTTTATCTTTCCAGTTTTGACCTTTTTATTTTCTCTGTGATTTTTTTCTGTTTTAACTTCTCCTATGTTGTCATTCCATATTTTTCTTTTCTTTGTTTCTTTCGTTTTGTTTTCAGATGTGAAAGTTTTCTCCTCCAGTTGTCTCATGTCTCGTTCTGATTCCTTTCCAATATTTTATTCTTTCCACTTTTTCCAACCTACATGACATCTTATGATGTCTCTATCTTTAGCTCTTTCTTTGTTCCTTCTGGGTTCTGAATGGAAATGAAGAAAAGTGAATCACCACCATTTTGCTGACTGCAGCCCCAGCCATTTTCATTTTGCTGTCAATTAGAACCCAAAGAACCAATCAGAGATGGGTGGGGTGGGATATGTGATGGGCAGTCTTTCCAGTGGTGAAAAACAGCTGGATACAACCCAACCAAACAAGACAAATGCCCCAACCCCGCCATATAAAAACCCAATTTGAAATGAAACAGTCATTTGGGAGCAATTAGTTGTTAGAATTCCATTGTACATATAGACCGACACAGGCTAAATTTGGAAACCAGAAGTACTTTATTGTCCTCTTGATGATCTTTTTTAACTACTTGTCCACGTGTTATTCTTAAAGATGCCAAATTCTGCTTTTTATTTTTGCTATCTTAACCTGTGATTTACATTTACCATGTTATTATGTTTATTAAATCTATAAATGCCAAATGATAATAAGCATTTAAAAAAATATTTTATTGGTAGGATTTAGAATTGGGTCCTAATTGCCACAGTAACACTAATTCATTGTGTGTTGGAGGAGGGATCATATTACTAAATTTTATTACTGTGGTTGTTGAGGTTGAATTTTGAAAAATTTATTGACCTGTCTAATCCAGTTGTCTTACAAAGGTCTGTTATTTTGAATATTTGGACACTGGTTTGGTGTGTTGCTTGGTGATTACCCCATGGCGAAATGGCCCATATATCCTTGTATACCTCGTCATAAACTTGGACCCTGAAGCTAAAATTAGGTTGAGAGGTGAGATTTTTGGTATTAAATTATTACAAGTCCTTACCCTTTATATTGCCATTTTTGTCCCAAATACTTCAGAACTCCCCTTTCCAGACCTCTAGACCTGTGACGGTCGCTTCAAGTCAATCAGAGGGAAAAATGGTATGAGTGATATACATTATCGTTTCTTATGATAAGATAAATGCTTGGCCTGTTATATCATGCTGCCATTCTCCTGGGCTACACTGGACAATCCCCAGCTTGATGTACATCTAGTTGTTATTGTATACATGGTCAGGCATTGATATGTGCTCCTGCTTCTGATGCTCAGACTCCTAGGTCTCCATTAGCTGTCTAACTTTTGGGATTAGTGCCTCAATTTGGAGTAATGAGATGGCTTTCTGAGTATGTGCCTTTGTGGCATACATTCAAATTTAAGTGTCAGGTTTTATTGATAAACTGGTTCGTCTCAACTTAGAAAAAAGAAATTATGTTAGCAGTATAGTCATGTGGTAAGTATAGTTGTCTGGAGGATCTTCTGAAATTGACAGCATTCTTTTCTGCTGTCTAGATCACAGGACTATTTATCACAAAAGTTTAGAAGTGCCATGGGAATGTATAATATATGCAAATATTCTAATGATTATGGTAATGATCATGCCAGTGATGTCTGCTCTAGTGGTTATGTGCAATGCATAGCTGAATTCGTAACACTTAATAACTCCTTTGGCCATTACAGTATTAACCAAATGCTATTAATTGCACTTAGAATCAGAACTGGGATCATGCATGGGCTCCTGAGTTCAGATTACTGGCTTAAGGCTTTAGCATCAAACTGCGTGATTAATGCATGTAAAAGTTTCGTTTCACTGTGCTTGGAGTAACCCCAAATGCCAGGAATCAAGGATGTATATCCCAAATCAAACCAGTTAGGTGAAAGCATGTTACTGCAGCATTTGAGGTACCTTTTTTTAGGCAAAGCTGTTACCTTATATCTGATTTTATTTTATGGGAAGTGGGATTTTGCAACTGCAGCATTAAAATGGAAATTATTCATATATGGCTTGAAATGAAATGGTTTCCCTATCCCTGCTCTAAATGTCAAAGAAACTTAAACATAGAGTCTGTCTGTGTGGGAACGTCCTTTATCTAGTTTTCTCTAAACCAGCCATTACTTTTGCTACAAAGAAGAGAAGAATCAATCAATGAGAACAATAATTTGGTGTTACCATATAGCTATCCTTTGAATTTTAACCACATGGACACTTCCAATGTGAAACTGAAATTGGTTAACCAGAATTGGGAACTGAAATTTGTAAGTTCATCACATGGCCATTGGCTACCTGTGATCACCAAGTTATAAAAACAACTTACAAATTATTGTCAAAGCTTTTCATTAATGCCATCCTCTTCCCTCCAAATTCATGTTCCCACCTTTTAGTAATTTATCCAGTCATTTAATGGTAATTCTTATCATTGCATATTTATGGAGGAAGCATCTGGCCAAAAATGGAATAGTACATCCAAACTTTGTAGCATTGTTGTTTTCTCTGTTTTCTTAAATCTGTTGTCCTGTAGCCTGTCCTGTCCCTGATTTAGTTAATACCTCCCTATTTTCATAACTGCCCCACTTTAGAAGGGATTCCCCTCCCCCATTCAGACCCATTGGTTTCATCTCCTCCCACCTTCTAAGTTGTCCCACATTCTGTTTTAACTTTCTTTTCTTTCTTTATTTACGTCCATTACAGCCAGATCTCTATGGCTCACAGATGTGCCCAGGGAAGCTCCCAGAGGTGCGTCACAGGCCCAAAAGAAGCTTGCATCAAAGTGCTTCTTTGAGATGTCATAGCACTGCAGAAGCAGGTTCATGTGTGTGCAGTAGAGTTGTTGCTTGGCTTATCTCACTTTTTTGTTGTCATTCCCAAACTCTGGAGGCCCACGTCACACATTGTTTTGCCGAGACTTCATAGGACGAAGCCACATAAATTGTGTCCGGATGCACTTAGGAATAGTGTGTCTATTTCTCTCTCCAAATTGTTCTTAGAGATTGGATAATTTATGAAACGGGGACATCTGTAGGCTGAACGTACAGGAAAGAATGTTGAATGCTCAATGCAAAGCTAACCTTTCTGTACAATTTTTGCAATTCTCCCTGGTTAGATTTCCAAATACTCCCTTTTCTCTGCTCTAAATGCTTCAGATTATTATAATTTCTCACGAGGCTTTGGAATGGTTTTTATAGTCCCCAGGTTCTATGTGGCCAACGAATGAAGTGGGGAGGAAGGGGAGGAGGGCGGAGAGGAGAAGGAGGGCAGGCCCTGGAGAAAGCTGCAGGGAAAATGCCCAACGCAGCATTAATGTTACCATTTAGCATCTCAGAGGTTATTGCTCCTCCACAGTTCTATTTTTCTCTCCTCCCAATCCGCCTTTATGTTAAAGCTCTAGACCCCCCAAAACTTCATTTTATGATCACAAGTATAAACTGACCAAGGGTGAGGCTTTCCTTTTATTCTAAAAGATATTTTGATTTCAACATGCCCAGAAACAGCTTATGTGATTCCAGTCATATAAAACCCATTGATCTGCACTATACTATGCTGTGCACAAATTTAGAGAAGTCTTGCTATGTCTGCCCTGAGTCGCCAGAAAAAAATAAGCTAAGCCGTAAACATCATTTCATGGATGAGCAGAGTCAACATGGAGGTGATTTTCATGCGCTTTTTTTTTTCTATCACAGTCATACTCCCACCCACCCTTTTTAAGTTGGATCCTAGTTTTACCTATGTGTTGTAATTAGAGAAGAGAATGATTGCATTATTAAGTTACTAACTTTAAATCTAGAATGTAATTTCAGTTTCCCAAGTGTAATCCTACAGGTAGCATGGGCTTCTTGGTGAAGAACTTTACTGGAAAGTGAAAATGCCACTGCCGAATGTTCTGAGCTGCGATTCTTTCCCTTTGGTTGTCCACAGGGAATTCCTGAGCAATGGGCACGATTACTCCAAACCTCCAACATAACAAAACTGGAACAGAAAAAGAACCCACAAGCTGTTCTAGATGTTCTCAAATTCTATGATTCCAAAGAAACAGTCAACAACCAGAAATACATGAGCTTTACATCAGGAGGTAAGACAGGTCTAGGGTATTAAAAGGTGAAGAAGTAATTTTAATCTTAGAGCCTCATGATTAGAACAAAATGTCCGTAGAACATCTGAAATCAATTCTAGTACCTTCTCCAAATGGCTTCAGCATAAGTAAACCAAAAGATGAGTTGTAACTTGAGGTTAACGTTAGAATATATACATTACTAGAATTTTTTAAAAACCCAAATAAGGAAATGGTTCAGTGAAGCAGTACTTGTTGGCTTGAATGAGCCAGCACAACTGTTTTGTTTCTTTACTGGCATGAGGACAGTCACTTAGGATCAGGCCTTGTGATATGTTCATGAAGTTAGAGGTATATGGATCAAACCATGGTCTCTGGAAATTTATTTTATCACTTGGATTTATCGATTTGCACCATGATGACACAGCACAAATTTTGTGGTTGTCAGGTTATTTTGATCAGACCTCAAAATCAGACTAAAGAAAAGAACCCATGTCTTGCTATTTATAGAGATTGAAATGGCCCTGTCACTGCCAAATCTTGACTTCATTTGATAGTGTATATACCTGGCCTTTGTTTAAGAGTGCTGATGTTCAAATTTGCACTATAAGCAACTGAAAAACTTATAACAAACAGCACTTTTGCGTTTTAAGAAAGATGATCTGGATTGTCTCTGTAAAACAGTTAATTCTATTTACTTTTTTTATTTTAACATTTACTTGTACGTATTTGGGTACAGTGTGTTGTTTCAATACATGAATATACTGCACAATGATTCACTTAAAGTAGATAGCATAGTTTTGTACCTGTTAGTCTATCATTTCTCCTCCCATGCCCACCCCCGGCCTCTGGTTACCATTATTCTACTGTCTACTTTTATGACAACCACTTTTTGTGAAACAATTTATTATCTAATATCTAAAGAAAGAAGAGAATACTGTCATTAGCACCCCAACTATAAAGAGCCCCTACCTCTTGGCATTGGACTTAGTATAGAGCAGGCTTGAAGCCTCTTTGAGAATGGTGCAAGGATACACTTGGAAGGGGAGGAGAGTCTGACTTGGCCATATCAAATTTCAAAGCCCAAACTTAAAGGCATGTGGCAATTCACATGCAAAATAGGGCTTTTTTAAATGAGAAGATTGCTTAACTGCCACCATTCAATATAGAAAACCTAAAAAGAAAGACATTAAGGAGGATTTTTTATGATATTTAGTCTTCCGCAAGGAATAAACTATCTAAGAGATTCTGGTGACACATCAAACAGTGTTGAATGTGAGGAAATCAAGAGCTGTGCTCCGAATTAGAACCGTAGAAGACCAGAACTGAAAATGCATTCAGGAAATCATTTCGGCGTAACCATTAATATCCTTCAGATTCTCAGCGTTTGTTCTTTACTCCAAGTAGCCACTGCTGTTTAACACTTTTATTTTTATGTGCCAAATTCTGTCAACATACAAAGATGAAATTCTGACAACTATGTTAGAACTCAACAGTATCTGAGTTATTGCACTATACTGAGCTGAGTGAAACTTACCGTATGTTCTCTGAATGCTCTAGTATTCAAACTAATGGGATAGGAAGGGAAGAGGAGAAGGGTGGGTGGAAAGAAGGAATGAAAGGGAGGGAGGGAGGGGGAGGGGGAGAGAGGAAAGGGGGAGAAATCTTGGATATACCAATCAGGAGTGCGTATGCTTGACATTCCTCCATATAGATGAGATTCACTGGAGGCCTTCATTAAAGTCTGTAAAATGATTTGGTGAGGATGTAATGCTGTGAGCTATTTAAGAAACACTATGTTGTCTATCATAATATCTATTCAATACTAAACTGGAGAATTTCCTTCTGGTGAAAGGCATGCATTTTTTTTTTTTTTTTAGTATGGTCTCTAATGAGGCAGTGTTTATGAAACAAAGGTAACCTCTTTATTCTCACTTTTCAGATAAAAGCGCACATGGATACATAGCAGCCCACGCTTCGGTAAGTGAAAAATTGAAAACTATTTCTTAGGATAGGTGTTTCTGGATATCCAACTGAATATAATTGCACAGATCCATTTGTTAGGTATAGAATCTTTTTAAAACAGATTTTAAAGATGTAATTTAGATATATAAAATTCACCTATTTTTAAGGGTACAAGTTCAATGAGTCTTAGTAAATTTGTACTCCTGTGCTACCATCAACAATCGTCCTAGAACATGTCTCCAGTAAAATCCCTCATGCCTGCTGACAGCCAATCCCTACCCACCCCCACCACAACCCTGGGCAATCACTAAGCTGGTTTCTGCCTTTACAGATTTGCCTTTCTGGACATTTCATGTAAATGAAATAATACACATGTGATGTTTAGGGACTGGCTTTTTTCACTCTGTATAATTCTTTTAAGATTCATCCAAATTGTGTGTATCAATAGTTTGTTCCTTTTTATTGCTGAGTGGTATTCCATGGTATGATGATGGTACCACAGTTTATTTAACCATTCACCTGTTGAAGACTTTCTAGATTATTTCTAGTTTGGGGCTATCACAAATAAAGCAACTATGAACATTCATGTACAGGTCTTTATGTGGACAAATGTTTCTATTTCTCCCACATATAGAATCTGGAAAATAATAATCATATTAATAGCAACTTCTCTTTACTAAATACTTGCAATGTACACTTACAAACTACGATGTGGACTAATATTATTTTTATATTCATTTCATCTTTCCTACAACCCAATTGAGTAAATATTACCATTTTCCCCATTTTACATATAAGGAAACTGAGGTTTAGAGAGATGAAATGACTTGTCTAAGGTCACAACGCTATACCCTTTAGTGTCATTTGTTTCAACAAACTGAAGTACAGTTGGGGAGGTAACTTTGCCCAAAGTCACATAGATGGTTTTATCTGACAAGTGACAGAAAAATAAGTAACAGCCCATGGAAGTGCTATAGTATCTGAAAGAATACCCACGCATAAAAGGCAGAAAATAATCTCAGACAAGGCTTCCCTTTCTGTGATTTTTATTTTGACATCCTGATAGAAATTATTACCTGCCTCGATTGCTTCCTTAGGAGTGAAGGAATTAGCATTAGTGAGAGTCTCCTAACTGTTTATTCAGTCATGGATGGCCAAACCGATTCTTCCTTATAGGGAAGACAAATGCTGGCCTGCTTGACATTACCCTGGGCAGCCAGTGTGACAGCAGTAGATCATTAGTGGTAAAGAATAAAAGCTCTAAAATAGTATGGCAGTTTCTCAAAAATTAAAAGTAGAATTACTGCATGATCCAACTGTTACACTTCTGAATATATACCCAGAATTGAAATCAGAGCCTCGAAGAAATATTTGTACACCCATGTTCATAGCAGCATTATTCACAGTAGACAAGAGGTGGAAGCAACCCAAGTGTCCATCAGCAGATGAATAGATAAACGAATTGTGGTAAATAGGAACTATGGAATGTTATTCAGCCTTAAAAAGGAAGAAAATTCTGACTCAAGGATAAACCTTGAGAACATTACGCTAAGTGAAATAAGCCAGTCACAAAGAGACAAATACTGTATAATTCTACTCAGAAGAGCTATCCACAGTAGTTATTTTAAACACTAACCTGATAGAATGGTTTGTGTATTCATTTTTATTGCCTCCTGAGATATAAACTGTTTCTTTTGAGATTGCTCCTATTGGTTTTGTTTGTAGTGTTAAAACTAAGTCTTCATAATGGCCAGAATATTCCACTAAATCTGAAAAAAATGATGATCTCACTGTTTGGAGATAAAAAAAAGTAGATAGTCACTTATTTAACGTATGCTTTTCAAGTGTCTCCTTATGAGCCCTAGGAGGTTGGAAGCCAAGTCTGATAGGGGAAGATAAGTTGAACCTAAGAAAGCACAATACAATATGCATAGTATTACATACCATAAAATATGTCCATTTGATAGAAGAATTCAGAGAAAAGAGATTGCTTTTAGCTAGGGAAGGAAAGGGAAGCAGGCTCTTGTCTCCAAGGGCTTAAGCTCAGTGCCTGTACCAAATAGGCACTAGGTATATATTTGTTGAGTGTTGAGTTAGAAAATGTTTTATACAAAAGGTGGCATTTGAGCTAGATCTTGAAGGCCAATTGAGATTTGGATCTGTGAAGATGGGAAAAGTATTCTAATCAAAAGGAAAAGCATGAGAAAGGGCATGGTGGGGAGAGCAAAGGAATGAGGGGTATGGGTTTGGATGAAGACTGAGATGCAAGAAAGGGAATCATAGGAGTTAAAGCCTGAAAGTTAATTTGGAGCCAACTCATAAAGGCCCTTGAATAGTATTCTAAGGGATCTAGCTTTTCCACTGTGCATTGGGAAGCCCTTGAAGTGTTTTGGAGCATGAGAGTTAGCTGATTAAAGCTTACACTTTGGGAAGAATAACCTGCCAGAATGAATTAAAGACAGAAGGTGAGACTGGATGAAGGGAGACCAGTTGAGGGAATATTGCAAGCTTCCAGGCTAGAGATAATGAGGGCCTGAAGTGAGGTAGTGGCAGTAGGAATGGAGATTAGGTTTCATTTCTAGAGGTGTTTAGATTATTGATTGAATATTTGGGGAAAGTGTGAGGTCAAAGATGGTTGCAGGCTTAAAATAATATGTGGGTGGGCAAAAAGGTGAGACTGTTATCTTTCAGAAGAAGCAGATTTCTGTGGGAAGATGCCGAATGTCCTATTGGACAGTTTGTGTTTGAAGGGCTGACAGGACTTCCAGGTGGAGATAATTGACTAAACTGCTTGACTAAAGCTAGGTTTCTATTGATTGAATGAACTGAGTTGGGCCCTTAAGTTCAATTTGGATCACTTTAGTGAAACTCAGTTACTTAGGAATTGAGAACTGCACCTTGTGTTTTCCATATAGTTCTAGGGTGAAAGTGCATCTCCCACACCTTTTTACATTAGAAACACTCCCAGTAGACCTGCTTATCGTACAGGATCTGATTTAATGGGACTGACTATTCCGTATAGACATAACCTGAACTGATCACAAAGTAATCCTTTAGTAGCCTGGGTGGGAATTGAAATAGAAGCAATGCTGGATTCTCTAAATGGTTTAGACTGATGGCTATGTAATTAATATTGAATTCAGTGATACCTCTCATAGTCATATGACATCTCCTTTACTGCTCGCTTGTGGTAGCTTCTTTCATATTAGTATATTAAATTCCAAGTACCGTTCAGGGACCCCTATTGGATTTGAGGCTAATTTTAAAATTTTACATTTTAATTGCACTGTTGAGAATTAAACAATGTATTTAGAATCCTGAGCTAGTATTCCAAGTGGAAGGTAACAGTGATAATATGAATGTGCCATGATTTGTGCCTAGAATAACTGGGTGTGCAGTTGACAGATTGCTCTTTTTTGGTTTGCAGTACAGGTTTATTTTGTTCATCTAGTTTAGTGGTTCTTTTACTTCAGTATGCATCAGAATTGCCTGGGGAGTCTGTTAAAATGCAGATTCTAGGGCTCCACTCCCAGAGTAGGTCTGGAATGCAACCCTGAAATCTGTATTTTAAACAAGCACCAAATCCGGCCCCCACAACATATTTTGTATTACCTCAAGTTTCCAAAGCCCTTGCCTCTAAATCCTTTGGCCTTTAAAAATTAAGCTCAAAGAAAGGAGAGTTTCCTAAGGTAGTTCCTCTAGCTAGTGTACTCCCTAGAGCAGGGTTCATAACCTGGAGTCCAGAGAAGGCCTTCAGAAGATCGTTGAACCCTTGAAATTATATATAAAAGCATGTGTCTACCTGTATTTTTCTGGGGAGAACAGGCAAACCTTTTAAAATTTTAAGATTCCTGGATCCAACTCAGGTTAAGAACTACATTTCCTGTCCCAATGTGTGGCATAATAAGAGTGTCAAAAATATCTAATTTTGATAAGACAAAAATATTTCTTGCTAACTATCCATCTATCTATATTTTTATAAGTTTAGAAATATTAGAAGTAATTCTCAACCTGGAAGAAAGAGATCAGAACTTTGCACCATTGACTCCCAAAAAGACCACCAGAAAAACCTGTAAAACAAGCAAAGCTAAGTTTATTAAACTTATGGTATCATGAAAAAGCACTATCCTGAGAGAGTCTTAGTGTCTTAGAAAGGGGATGTCAGGGAAGAATATTTATAGGGTTTTAGGGCCTGAGCTATGATTTTAAAACAGGTCTTGCAAGGCGAGGAACAGGTTCGAATTGTGCAGTGTTTATGATAAAATAGCTCTGTATTGGTGAATACAGCAAGGTGAGAGTCTTGAAATAAGTCTTGGTAAGCAAGCTGTTAGTCTTAATAAGCAAACTATTTTATAGTTGGTTTACAGTATCTTCCAGAAACTAGTATATCCTAAAGTAAGAAGCTAAGTTATTTTTGCTCATTCTCAGTATTGTTTAACATAGGAACGGTAAAGTATATCTGTCCTGATATTATTTAACACAGGAAATAGTAATTATGCTCAGTCACAGTATTATTTACACAGGGATAGGAAAGTATGGCTGGTCTCAGTATTTTTTTAATACAAGGGCAGGAGATTGCTAATTTCAGTTCTCAGTACCAAAGACTGGTGTTGTAGGCAGATTGCTGGGAATTAATACTCCCTGGCCCAACCGTAATCCAAAATATACTGTCTACTGAAAACCACATATTCTTCTCAGCCAACCAACCAACAGGGCAGGAGAGTGTTTCGTCAGGGGTAAACAGAAATATCTGTCTTCCTTCTCCCTCACACACCTCTAGAGGACAATAACTTTCAGGCTTTCTAATAGTTTTCTGAGTCCATCCTTAGAGTTGGGGAATGTCCTTCATTTGAAATTAGAGTAGTGAAGGTAGTAATGAATGTTAGGAAATAGTCATTGAAATTTTGTAGGTGGATTTTATTTAGTGAAGTATTAAGACTTGAGATGCTCAAGGTTACCTCTTTGCCAGTAAGCACTGATTAGTCTTCGTACTATTCTAAGGGGTGGGCCAAGAAGACTAGACCTTGAGTTATTATATTTGCCACCAAGACCATTTTTAGATCCTTACAGACTGTATGTACTACTCCTGGAGGCCACATGGTGCATTTTATCAAACATGCTAAAGGACCCCCATATCTCACTTTATATTCTTGCTGTAAGTTCTTTGAAGTGATTTTTAAAGTATTGATTTTGAAATTATTTGCTTGCAAATAACGTTTAATTTGTAGTTAGGTATAATTTCTTGGCAAATCATTGTGAATACCGAATTGTTGCTAAATAAGAATATCTAGCCTACAATTTGTTTTTAGTGTAATAAAATTTCTATAAATGCTAAATTTAAATGACTAATGATTTAAGTTGACACATTCTTATGCTCAGTTGACCTTTAATTAAATATTAATTAATTTAGATTTTATAATTTTCTTGTGGCTGTTTGGAGCTGGTGATTTGTTTCTGACCTCAAACATTTTCATAGGCCCACATAAAGCTTATCATCCCTGTGCAAAGCTTATATTGCCTAATGGATAAAGTAGCACCATTTGCCATGCAAAAAAATACTCAGCTTATACGCAGGTTCTGCCCTTCTAACAAGGAACAGTGATTGGGTGTATTCTTCATCCCAGCAGGCATAAGATAGAGCAAAATTTCCTGGAACATATCAAAGCAAATGCCAGTAAGGTGATTTCCCCCTGTGCCCACTGAAGTGCCCTGAAGAGTTAGTGTTTCCCAAGAAGAACGTTTTTCTTTAATCTGGAAACAATGTCATTAACAAAGGATGGTACTTCAAAAAGTTCATGGAAAGATTCGTATTATCTTTTAATTCTATTTTTCCTTGAACTTTTTGTAGTACCCTCATATGTTGCCATCCACATAGCCATAATACAATATAATAGCCCAGTTGTTATGGCTAAATAAAGAATAAATATAGGTGCAAAACTTAGAAAACCAATGTCCAGTAAACATGTAAGCTTCAGTCTATAAACCACTGAGCATCTACATCAGGGCAATCAAATATTCTTTTAAATACTTATTTATAAATTCTAGGTTGTCTTCTTTCTCACAATAGATATATCTTGCTGGCTCCTATCAGATATATGATTACACCTTATTAGTTTCTACATGATTGTAAAAAAAATCCACATTGAATTTTTAATCATAGACTGAGGTGCTTTGATATAATAATCTATTAATAGGCTGCCTATAACTGCCTCAGGAACTTTGTCCTCAAGGAATGAAAATTTGTTGTAGGATCACCTTGGGCCAGTACACCCAATAGTATAAACAAAAAACAAATAAATACACAAAAAGAAAAAATTTTTAAATCACCTATAATAACACTGTCCAACAGAAATAGAATATAAACTATATATGCAACTTTATATTTTCCAGTAGTTATATTTAAAAAGTAAAAATAAATAGGTAAAATTAATTTTAATAATATATTTTATTTAACCCAACATATTAAAAATGTTATCATTTCAACATATGAGAATACTTCAAAAAGTTCATGGGAAGACTCATATTATCTTTTAATTCTATTCTTCCAAAAACTTTTTGAAGTACTCTCATATGATCAATATAAGAAGCATTAGTGAAATATTTTACAATTTTTCTACATTAATTATACAATATCTGGGATGTACTTTGCAGTTAAAATACCTCACAATTTAGACTAGCCATGTTTTAAGTGTTCAATAGTCACATGTGGCTAGTGGCTGCCATATTGGACAGAACAGACCTAAACCATAGTTCATGTTTTTTAAACTTGAGCATGCATCAGGATCACCTGGGAGACTTGTTATAACACAGATTGCTGGGCCCCACTTCCAGAGTTTCTCATTCATAGGTTGGATGGAGCCTGAGAATTTACATTTCTAACAAGTTCCTTAATGATGCTGATGATGCTGATCTGGGGGCCACACTTTGAGAACCATGGTCATAGTTCTTTCAGAATCCAACCTTGGAACCATTTTACCCCCACATTAATGTGAATGATTAAGAACTGACCCTAGGTACTGTGGTTGTTGATGTTAATGTTGGTGGTGCTATTATTGCAGTTTGTAAAACATTGCAAATCACCATTTGCCTATTGGTTAATATTGAGTAATTATTTATGTAGATGGGTGTTCCTTAGATCTTCATGTCTATTATTCTCTGAGTGCTTCTTTCCAGGAGGCTGAACAGGGAAGAAACATTTATTGGCTTGCTTGTTCTTAGTGAGTATTTGCAGAGCTGTATTATTACCATATCCATATGCATGCTCTGATCTTTCGGCAGAAAGTAGCCCTTTTCAAATTGACAATCTGCCCAGTACAGATTCAAAACTTTAAAAATTAATTTGATTTTTTTAACATATTCATTGATTTCAAAAGCATTGAACTTGAAAGCATTAAGCGAATAGTTCACTGTTTTTGAGCTCAGTGAAAAGTAAAAATCATTTTTTAGAATTCATGGTCCTTTAAACCATGCCATGAATTTATCTCTGAATGTGAGCAGTTCCTGGCCACCAAACTGTAGATGGTGCTGCTCATTTGCAAAAGATATAGCTCCTTCATATCCCTACATGCTTAAATATTTCATTTTCCTTGTCTCATTTCTGAAGAAAAATAATGAGTTAATATCTGGTCTCTGAACTTTTTTTTTTTTGTCATAAGAGTACAAAGACAGCATCTGAGCCTCCTTTGGCTCCTCCTGTGTCTGAAGAAGAAGATGAGGAAGAGGAAGAAGAGGAAGATGACAATGAGCCCCCACCTGTTATTGCACCAAGACCAGAACATACAAAATCAGTAAGTCACGAGTGACTATTGCCAAATGATTCAAAAGATACCCTTTGGAATAATCATAGAATTAGGATGTAGTTAATCAACTAGTACCTATTGAGCATCTCCTGTGTTCCCAGAACTAGAGTATAAGATAAGACTCTGGTTTTGAGGTTGCTGTTTGAGGATACATTATTAGAACATTAAAGAATTAGAAGATGATACCAAATAGTGCATAAATAACTGCTAATTTACAAAACTACTGCAGAAGATAGAGAAGCAAATCCATGTGAACAATGTAGAAAGAATTGCATAAGCAGAGGCACCTATACCAGAATTAGCAAGACATGTATAGAGTCTTCCAAAGACTAGCTCCCAAGATCTTTCAAGGGTGGTATACTCGAAGCTACTTAAAGTTCTTTTGAAATAGAAAACCACTTGTCTTTAAAAACTTATTGGTATGACAGTGCCTTGATACCATACTCTTTCCTTGGCCTGCTGTTTTAATTGTAGAACTTTATGTGTTTTGTCTTTTAGATCTATACTCGTTCTGTGGTTGAATCCATTGCTTCACCAGCAGCACCAAATAAAGAGGTCACACTACCTTCTGCTGAGAATGCCAATTCCAGTACTTTGTATAGGAACACAGATCGGCAAAGGAAAAAATCCAAGATGACAGATGAGGAGATCCTAGAGAAGCTAAGTGAGTTTTTTTCGCCATCATTACTTTCATCATGGGAGGGTTTCTCATAAAACCTTTAGAATGGGAATTGATCCTCTAGAAGTTTGAATCTTCTTGTATGAACTTCAGGCTCCCTGCAGTCACGAGATGAAAAGTTTGGGACTCACTGTATATGCCAGATTGCTTCCTCCCTCACACTCCTAATTTGACATAAACTAAATATTTGTACTTGAAAAAGTCAATTAAGGTGAAAACTTGACAAAATAAATAAAGTAGTAGGGTTTTTTTTAAGATTATGCCTCCAAAAGGGATAAAATAGTCTTATAAAATATCTTATGATCATACCCCAAGGACCTCCAACTGATCAGTCATGATAGATAAGTCAACCTCAAAGCTCAACACAGTCAATCAAAACTTGCAACCACAAACAATACTCATATAGCCTTTTCTCTTAACTTAGGAGCATTTCTGTGTGGGGAGAAAGGCAGAGCCAGCAAATGCTAGCAGTCTCCTTCTGCAGTGTCATTAGGGCATGCATGCTTGTTGCCCTGCTTTTGCAAAACACTCTCCTTCTACATAGCTTTCTGGATCAAGAAGATACAAAATCGGTTCTATGCTAAAGAGAGGTCTGTGAAGCATATTCATTAAGCTCATACTACAGCAGCATCTGACAAATTGCTAGATATCAACAATCATTGCCCCCCGTTTGACTAACTCCTACTCATCCACCAAAACTCAGCTCAAAATTGCCTCCTCGGGAAAACCTTCTTTGTCTCTCCCAGTTAAGGCCCCTCTTCTTTACTGTTTTTATATTAGCAAATATCATACTTTACTAGGCTATCTCCTTCACTAGATGGTGAGCTCCTCGAAGGCAGGGACTGTGTCTTTTTTTCCTATATGTCCAGCTCCTAGTAAGTGCCTGTTACATAAAGGCACTCAACAAGTGTTTGTTGAGTAAATGAATGAAAAAATGAGCACACAAGTGCATTTTTACGTCTCCCTACTTGTCTGTTCTATGCAAGAAATTTTGGAGGACACAATAGAAGGACAATTTCCTGTCATCAAGAAACTTACAATTTTCTTTGGAACATAAGATTTAACACTGTGAAACAACTAGAGAATAGGAGCCTATCTCATTTCATGCAACTTTTATCTAAAAGACCTCAAAGAAGGAAGAGAGCAATTCCAGCTGTAGGCCACAGGGAGGCTCTGCAGAGGTGGCAGTAGGGCCATTTTGCCCTCCAGGGGACGATTGGCAATGTATAGAGACAGTTTTTATGGTCACGATTCAGAGTGCTACTGGCACCTAGTGGATAGAGTCTCGGTATGCTTCTAAATATCCTATAATGCACAGGGCAGCTTCCTTCACCCCCCACCCACCCCCTATTTGCAACAAAATATTATTCAGCCCCAAATGTCAACAGAGCTGAGGTTGAAACATTTTGAGCTAGAAGTATTTTGGAAAGGCAAAGGTTGAGGTTGCAGCTGTCAGTGAGCACTCAGAACTGGAATCACTGGACTTTAGCGAACTGACTTCACTATACACGATTATGCCTCTAGTGCTAATACCCACCATTTACTATAATAACAACAGTAATAATTCTCATTTATTGAGCACCTTCTGTGCTGGCTACTTTACAGACATTATCAAGGTTAATTTTCACAACAATCCCGTACAGTAGATTTTAATGTCCTCATTTTACAAATCAGTGAAAGTAAGCTTTAAAAAGCTTAAGTGACCAAGTCACCAAACTAATGAGTGGCAGAGCCAGAGTTTGAATTCAGGTCTGTTTGCCATCGACGCTTATACTTTTTCCATTACCCACTTTGCTTCTGCATATCATATCTGTGTTAAAAGGAAGGACGGAATGAAAGAATTGCCTGGATAATTTAAGTTCAGTTATTCAGATAATTGTCTCAATCTTTCCCTTATTTTGTATATGTAGACATGACCTATGAGATTATGTCAGATTTTTAAAATCTAACAGCCCTGCTTTAGTGAAAATGACTGTTACTTGGTATCTGTTTCAAATATCAATAGATTTATTATAATAAAAATATATTTATAACTTTGTTAAGTTAGCTGACAGATAAATAGCATTATTGGGAGGTCCAAAATCTTGCTTTGCTTACAAGCTATAATGGTGATGGAACTGTGGCCTTTATGATCTGTTATTCATTCTGCTCTGCACTGAGCAACATGATGAAGAGGGGGAAGCTGACTGATTACATTTTAATTAAGAGTTAAGTGTATTTTTTTTCTCTTTTGGACTTTGTGCTTGGGCCTAGAAAGAATCATTTTCCTTCTACCAGTGGGCCACCTGTGACTGCCAAACTTACCTTGTACTTGTAGATCTTGGCAGGCAGAACCTGCAGAGAAATGGGTTTTTGTGAAGCAGATCCAGGCTGAATTATACTTCAAAGTCTGCAAAGTTGGGCTTTCCTATTCCTGCATCCTTATCACCCTCCCTGTACCCTCTCTCTGCCGCTTACACACTGGGTAACCATAGACAAATCATTTAACCTCTCTGAGCTTCAGTTACTTATCTGTCAAATGGGAAAAGAATCATAACTACAATTTAGGACTCTGTCTATAGGATGGATTTTAGGGAGCTCAACCTATGGTTAAGAGGACAGAAAGATCCAGATTCAAATTACAGACCCATTGCTACTAGCTCTGTCACTTTGGGCGAGTTACTTAACTGTTCCTTATCTAAAAAGTGAAGATAATAATAGTCCCAACCTCATATCAGTATGATAATTAAATGAGAATAATGCATATAAAAACCTCAGCAACAGTACCCGGCACATAGTAGGTGCTCAATAAATGGTGGTTATTATTTTATTGCATGAGTGTAAAGTCTTAATAAAATAATATAATGGGACAAGCTTTGAAATGAGTCTTAACTGGAACTGAGTGATAGACACAGTGCGGTGAGTGTTCTTAGGCAAGCCACTTAACCCCTATAAACTTTAGTTTGTTCATTGAAAAATGGAAATAATAATAGTACCTATATAATAGGGTTGCTGTGAGGACTAAATGAGTTAAAGAATGTAAGACATCTAGCCCAGTAAACAGTAATGTAAAATTATTATTATGCTATTTTTGAAAAATGAGAGTGACCATATTTTTTTGGTATAAAAAATGGTGGCATGGGGTCTTACTGTGGAACAGAATGTTTAAAATCAGGAATAATCCCAGATCTATGGTCCCTAGACAGAAGTCATCAGGGACCTTTGAATCAAGGGCCCCATCGGGGCTTGGGGAAGGATAGAGGAACCTGAGCTGAGAGGCAAAGGAGAGAGAAAAGAGAAGCAGGAACGTAGAGGGATGGCCAACAGCTTGTACCAGAGTGGACCTCACAAGCACGAGGAAGAGGAAATGGCAGCGTCTACTAAATTATTGTTACCTTCAGCCTCAGGATCCAATTACTAGTAGGTGGGCAGCCTAGAGTACAGAGCCACCAGGCTATTCATCTTCCACGTGGATACCGATTGTTGGGGCCAGACCAAGGAATCATTAATAGCTGAAATGAACAAATCATCTTTCAGTTTTACACAGACAGATAGCCTGGGTCTTGCTTGTATATTGTGGTCTGTTGGAAAATAAAGAAACCCCTACATTTTAGTGAAATTTTTCAAAAGGCACTGACTGTCAGCAAAATTTTACAATGCAGGAAATTTGTCTTTGGCCTTCCTGTGGGCCCCACAAGTCACCTATTTCTCTTGCTCCTTTTCTCCCCCAGCATTCCCCACTCAAAATTCTTTCTCTTAATTCACCCTCAGATAGAAATTATACTAATTTAGAGAATTATTTTTTTCTGAGGAATCAAAACTTTCATTATGCTAAAGGGATAATATTTCAATGGTGGGGTTCAGCTTAGCATAATATGTTGGAGAATATATTGATGGGCTTTTCTGCCACTAAAACCATGTCACAAACCCTATTTTCAAATACCAGTATTTAGTAATTTCTTAAAACCTTGTACTATAAAATGGATAATTTGTTTCTTATTTAGGGAGTTATTCTGGTTGGGACTCGTCTGGTATTGCTATCATTTCTTTTTTTCTTTTAATTTTGATTTGCTGATTTTTCTCACGTTTTTCCCTATTGTGTCACAATGTTTTTCCTTTATTGTAATTTATAAAAGCAAATTAGAATGAGTCTGATGAAAGAGATCACTTTAAAAGTCTGTTTTGTGATTCAGCACTGTAAACAAGGCCTCCTGTACACTTGCCTAACATCAGTAGATGCCAGCACACATTCTCTTGAGAGGGGTAATGGGCTGGGGACGCCATTATATTTGAATAGCAGTTAAATTCAGAAGCAGAAACACATCACAATGGTTATCTTTTGGTAATCCTTGACAAAGGATTTATTTCCAGTGTTTTTTTTTTTTTTACCCTGCATATCATGGAAATAAAGCTTGAATAATTTACTACCATAAAGCCTCATTAACTGAACCCCGCCAATTGGAATTGGTCATAATTCAGAAAGTGGCTTGGGCTGAAGCTTATTTGCTTTTTCTCAATCTATGGAAAAGATTTTGCTCAGCAACTTAATAGTAAAACTCTCTTAGAAGACTATAAACTGCTTAATAAAACTATGGTTTCAAGTGAGTTTAAAATTGTCATTTCATAAAAAAAAAAAAGGTTCAGGCTCTTACTCATTAATGGCTGACTTGAATAAGGGGCTCTCAGTGATGTAGAAATCTGTTAGACAATTTGGAAAATAAAATAAAATAAAGTTTAGCAACTCAGACGTTACTAAATTGGTAGCATTCTATGAATGTACTTGTAGTTCAAGTACAATGCATTCTCCAACCCCTGTCTTAAGCTATGGGGTATTTACAAAAGGAAATACCTAATTTTATTCAAGTTTAATTCAATAAATGTTTATTGAGTATACAGCATTGTGTGAGGAGGAACTGAGGATCCAGAGATGAATAGGACCTGGCTGCTGTCCTTAAGACACAGTCTAAAAGGGGACGTCAGATAGATACAGCTATATGGTATATTAAGTACAGATAAGGAGAGCAAGAGGTAAAGTGAGAGAGGGAGAAACAGGGAGAGAGAAGATATAGTAGCGGCAGAGAGAAGAGAAGTGATTAACTTTATTTAGGGAAGTCTTCCCAGAAGAGGCACCATCTAAGCTGAGTTTTGAAGTATGAATAGGAGGAAATGTGGGAAGGACATTGCAGGCAAAAAAATGGCATGTAAAGAAGACTCAAAGGCTTATGCTTGGGAACTCTAACTTATTCAATGTTACTTGAATGAAGAATCAGTGGTAGAATGTGGTACTGGAGTTGTAGGAGAGGCAACTAAACTGTTAAGCAAGAGCTGATCATGAACTACAATTAGTTTGTTATGGTCAGAGTGGAAGGTTCTAGTGGGGAAGTGGTGAAAGATGAGATAGAGAATGAAGCAAGAGCCAGATCATGAATGAGGAGCCTTGCATTCCTCCATGCTAAGGAGTTTGAGCTTTACCCTGTAGGTGTTAGGGAACCATCAAGGAATCCTGAATCAGAGAATCTCATGATTAGGTCTGCACTTAAAGCATCCTGATAGAGGTGTGGAGTCTGGACTGGAGTGGGCAGAGGTTGGAAACAGTAAGTCCAGTCAGGAGGCTGTTGGCATAGCTCAGGCAAAAGATGATGAGGGCCCAACTAAAAAATAATGAGTAGTAATGAGGAAGAGACAGATTCAGAAGGTGTCTAGGAAGTAAACCGATATGTGCCCAGGACTCACTGGACAACTGCATGTGGTGAGTGAAGGTAAGAGACAAGTCAAAGATGACTCCCAGATTTCTGACTCAGGCTACTGAGTGGATTGATTGGTGATACTACTGACTGAGATTGGAAATACAGGAGAAAAAGTATTATAACAGCTCATATATTATCTAAGACCTATTTAATCTAACTGAAACATGGATTTCCACTATGGATAAGAACAAAAAGAAAAACAATAAAAAAACCCAGCAACCTGATGTGAAATATTTAACTGATTATTTTTCTCAAGGTATAATATCTCCTGTTAGGTCTGAGTTAGGTTGTCCACTAGGCCAGAGAATAGATTATTGTCTAAATTAGCACGAGCTATTGGCTGTAGCACACAGGTTAGTACTTGAATACATATCTTTCTCTTCTCATTTATTTAGTCCACAAATATTTGCTAAGTGGCAGCCACTGTTCTAGGCATCGAAGTTACAGAGATGAAAAGACAAGTTCCTGCCCTTAAGAAGAAGCATGTATGTCTCATCAGAGGAATCTGAGAAGACTTCACAAAGGAGGCTGATTTGAGATTATATTTAAGTGACAGATATGAATTTATGGGTTAGATAGAAAAGGGATAGGGGGAGCCTGTGCAAAAACCTAAGTATTGGATAGTGATAGCATTAGTAGGGTCTAACGTAGGAGGGATGAAGAGAGAGGAAAAGAATAACATGAAGTTAATCTGGTTAGGAAGGAGCCAGATGGTGCTGGATGGAGATGGGCCTTCTGTGCCCAACTAAGGAATTTGGACTTGATTCTGTAGTGAGGAGGAACTTTTGAGGAATTATGAACAATGGAGCAAAATCATCTGAAGTAGGGTGACCATACATCTCAGTTTGTCCAGAACAGTCTTGGTTTATGAATTATATGGTCACCCTATTCTAAACACATTGTGGAAGAGAAATTAGAGAAGGCAGAGTTCAGAAGTAGATTATGACTGGCACAATTTTTTGGACAAGAGATGTTGAGAGTCTGAACAATGTCAGTGGCCTTGGGCATGGAGAGAAGGGGATGAATAAGAGTGACAATTAGGAGATAGAGTCTACAGATCTCTCGATTAGTTCACATGTATAAGTCTTGTCTTACCAACCAATCCTACACTTTCTGGGGCTATGCATTAGTAAGATATAACTCAAAGATATTAATACTGGTATGTTTACTTCCAAAAGGAAAGAAGGGAGAGAGACAGAGGCATCCAAATAAATGATGCCCTTCATAGTAGTCCCCTTGAGAAGTGCACCCTTATTCCCATAGTGCTGCTATGGCCCAGAATTTTTCTGGACCTATTTGAGCACTGCCTTGAAGAGTCAATGTCATTTCTTTGGGATTTATTCTGAATGATAGCAAGTATTCATCCTCTGAGTGGTAGATTTAATTTTTTAAAATAGCAAAACCATTTTTTTTCAAAGCCAAACGTGATAAAGTAATGGTTTTCTTGGATGGCTTATAAGCTTACTAAAAAATGTTTGGAACAATCTATAGAAATAAAGTCTTGCCTAGGGATGGTTTGGGAAGCTGAGGTGGGGTAGGGAGTAACTGCTCACAGGGACAAGGTTTCTTTCTGGAATGATGAAAATGTTCTTAAATTAGATCATGATATTTGCACAACTCTGTAAATGTATTAAAAACCATTGAATTGTACACTTTAAGTGGGTGAACTTTATGGTATGTAAATCATATCTAGGTAAAACTGTTCAAATGTTTGGGTCAGTAATAGGGTCCTAGGTTCTGAAATATATGTTTTTGAAAAGCATGAGTCTCATTATTTTATGATCAAACTTTCTTCTTCATTAGATCCATCCATGTCGCCCTCAGCACAGTACTAGGTGCATAGTAATTACTCAATGGATGTTCGTCCACCAGAATTGAATGTAGTGTAGTGCTCAGCCCCACTTCAATTCAGAGAAGGTAGTAAAATAGTGTGTACAAGTTCTTAGATTTTTTTTATCTCCTAATCTCTCATATCATTTTATGAGAACTTTTATAAATGTTGGGCTGTGATCAGTCCTTTTTGTTTCCCAAACGTCATCAATTTTGAATAAAAGCAGCATGGGTTATTATTACTACTTTAATTAATATATTACTATTTGTTATTTTAGCAAATAGAAAGTATCATTTTTATATAAATTGTAGAAATCTTATGGGAGTATTGGTCAAATTTTTTATTTGTCATTAGCTGTGGCATCTTAATTTTCATTATTAAATTTTAATAAAAGACCAGTAGATCAATTTCAACCTTCTCTCTCTCTCTCTCTCTCTCTCTCTCTCTTTTTACTGCTCTCTCTCTCTCTCTCTCTCTCTCTCTCTCTCCCTTTTCCCACCCCTCTCTCAGGAAGCATTGTGAGTGTTGGGGACCCAAAGAAAAAATACACAAGATTTGAAAAAATTGGTCAAGGGTAAGTGATTATTTTTCGAAACATCAAAAGGTGAGCACTAGCAACAGTCGTTAAAATTCAATAACAGCTTGGATTTCTGGTAAATTATGCTTCTCATTTCCTGGATTATATTTGTGTTTTGCATTCTTAGTATTGGCCTTTCCAGCTGTCAGGCTGATTGTGAGTTTTGTAAGGACATTTTGATCCCATATAGTTAGATGATTCAAACTGATTTCTCAAAAAAAGCAGTAGAGTTATAGAAACTTCTAGTTTGTGTGTAAACCCCTTTTATCCATGTCCCCCCTACATCTATATGGATGGCAAGGTTAAGATACTATGTCACTGTCAAACTACAAAGTGACAGAGTGAGGATGAGGAAAGCTCTTATTGATTGATCCAGAGGTGGGCAGAGTTGCCTATCAAAGTATGGAGGAAGCAGAATAATAATCTTTAAATGAGATGAAGTGCATTATTTTCACCTAGTATTCTTGTTTAAGACAAAGATTCCCAGGCATCACTGCCAGAGATTTGATTCAGAGTCTGGAGTGGATCTTGATCATCTGTGAGCCATGGGAACCATGTCATTGGATCATTCACTAGAGCTGAAGGTGGGAGTCACCAGTTCTTCAAGTCAGCTGTAATTAGGAATGTCTCCCAGGCCTCAAGGTGAAACGAAGTGAGAGGGTCTGAGTAGACAACAGCATTTGAAACAGGGAAAGTTTATGTTTAAAGAGAAATGGAGTGTTCTTGAGGGGGGTCCTTAAATGGGGAATGAGACACATATTTGGGTGTACCAACTGTATGACAGGAACCAAGATGGCCCCCCAGAGGTCTCCTGGCTGAGGAAAGGAGCTGAGAAGAAGAGGATACAGCTAATATGCCTGAAAAATTGTGCTAGCCCATCAGCCATTAGAGTCTAATTATTTTAGGATAAGGGAATATGGGATTTCTTCACGCACCTCACTTCTTTTCCTGGGATTCTTAGGTTCAAAAAATTATATATCGTGTATAAACTTGACTATTTTTCATTATTTTTATATTTTCTTTGTTTTTCCCCCTAGCTTTCGTACTCAAGTTTCTTTTAAAATTGCCAACATATCTTGGGAAATAGGGAAAGCATTCATTACATATTTGGGCTAAACAGTAAGAGGGGCACTTGTGGGGACTGTGTCTTATGGGAATCAAGGTGAGAAAATCCTCAGAGGAAGACAAAAACTCAGGGAGAAATATATGGCCAAGTTTATTCTTCCAGTGGAAACCACAATAGCATTGCATATGAACTTTCCAAGAGGCTAAAATATATACCTATTAGTGCTTTTGCTTCTTTCTTTGTTGTTTAATATCACTGGTATTCTCCCTTCCTCACACACACAAAAAAGTTTTCTTCTCTCTAGGGCCCCTGTCACTTAATGAGTCAAATAGTATTTCTACCAATTGCTCTAGAGCAGTGCTGTCCCAAAGAACTTTCTGTGATGATAGGGATGTTCCATAACTATGCTAACCAATATGGTAGCCACTGGCCCCATGTTGCTATGGGACACTTGAAATGTGTCTAGTGCAAATGAGAAACTAAATTTATTTGAATTCATTTACTTGTTTAGCAGACATTTACTGAGCATCAAACTATGTACCAGATACCACGCTAAGTGTTAGAGAATGGAAATGGGTAATGATGGCATAGGTCCTTAACTTACAGTCTACAGTGATAAATGCTTGACAGGAGGCTACATAGGGTAAAAGGAGAACATTGAGGCAAGCTTATTCAATTCCCCTAAGTGCAGAGCAGGGCTGACTTCTAAAGCCATTATCTCCCACCTGGAGTTTTCCCTCTCACCCTCTGGTGGACTAGTTGCTTTGCTTAAGTAAGGGCAAACATACCTTCCTAAGTTCGCATTCAAACCTCAACTCACTTTCTTCATGCCGAAAAGATAAATATCACAAGGCAGGTTGCAAAAAGACGGTATTATGTACTAAGGAGGCTCAGAGAACAAAAGCTGGCTTTTAGTTTTATTTTAACCTAGTTAGATCTTTGGTAGAGCTAACAATAGGAAAGAATATGCAATCCACTTGGAAGTAGCACTCCAAATCTTTGTTGTCCAATATGGTAGCCACTAGCTACATAGGTCTATTGAGCCCTTGAAATGTGACTAGTCCAAATTGAGATGTGATGTAAGTATAAAATACATACCTGATTTCAAAAACCTTGTATGAAAAAAGAATGCAAAATATCTTATTAATACATTTTATATTGATTACATGTTGAAATTATAATATTTTGCATATATTGAGTTAAATAAAATATATTGTTAAAATTATTTTTATGTTTTTAAAATCTTTTCAATATAGCTCCAAGAAATTAAAATATGGCTCACATATTTCTAATGGACAGCACTGCTCTAGTTGTAGGTTTAAATGAGAGCTATTCATTTGTTTATTCATAGAGTGGTTTTGTTCAGAGTTGGTTTTTTTTGAGGGGTGGGAGTGGAAGATGTTATGATTTTGTACTTATTGTTCTTCCCCACTACAATCCAACTGAGCCAAAAATAGCATTGAATTTAAAAAGAAAAATGTAAGAGGTGGTTTCAGATATCTCCCAGATACCAGGTAGTGAAGCAAGACTAATTTCTTCAAGAGCAAAGATTAGGCCGCCAGGCAACTGTACATACCAAAGAGATTTTCCCTCCTGGCTGTTATTTATGCCTCTGACTTTTAAAGGTGAAAAGGAAAGTTCTCCATTTCTGAATGCCTTTGTAAAGTCTTTATATATCTAAAACGAAAAATCAAAGCAGAAATCCTGCTTGCCACTGCAGAAAGGTCTATTTTAAATTCTCAGCCAGTTCATTTTAAAGAATGATGAAATCAGCAGATAGTTCACTTTATATGCCCAACACAACTTTTTAATAAGTCCTTTGAGGGTAGGGAATTGAGTTCATTTCTCTCTTTGTCTCCTTGAGTGTCTAGCACAGTGCTTTTACACTTAGTAGGCACTCAAAAACAATTTTGTGCAGTTATGGTCAACAGTTGGGTTTACTTTGGCCTGACTCAAAGAACTACAGAGCTTCCCTTGTCTGTTGCCCCTGTCTCTCTGGGTTTGTTTTGCCTTCATAAATATTTGTTGAACTAATGAAAATGCTTGTCTTTCTACCTCTCCCTTCCTCTGTCCTCTGTCTTTTCACGTATATGTACATGTCTGTCTTGCTCTTTCTGTTTCTCTCTCTTTTTCCCATTGAGTCTTCATCTCTTTGCCCTTTGCAACGACATGGTCTGCTTCACCACATCTGATTCTCTATCATTTGGGTATCTGTGTGTGCTGTACATCCATCTTTTCTACTTGTATTTTTTGTTCTTCACTCATAGATTGTTTGCTTTTCTTCATTTTTAATGTGAATAAGCAAAATATTTCTTTCTTTCTCTTTAGACCAAAAAAAAAAAAACCACAAACCAAAAAACCACAAAAATACACATATTAACTTTCTTTTTACTTTTAAATGGCTCTCAATTGATTTTTCCATGAATTATTGGCCTAAGTTAGATAAACTAGTCTCTACTCTCAATATATAGAGTTTTTATTTTCTTTTCATTAAGTCTGGGTTTTTAATTGTCTTCTTTACCTATTGTTATGGTGGCATTCAAAATCGTGTCAGTAATCATTTAGTGCTAGAAATAATCAGCCCCAGTATTCCATTTGCAGCTCCAGGAAGCACAACAGTTCACTCTTGGGAGCTGGAATTGAGAAGAACCTCGCCATTAATCACCCTCATCTACTTGGAAAACTAAATTTTTCCAGCATGGGTTTCTGCTGTTCCAGCATCCAGGCCTGGGGCCAGAGAATTGGTCTCCATCTTCTATAAATCAAGTTCAGAATTGCATGTCTAATCATTTTGAGGCCTTAGCTGTGAGTCAAAGGCTGAAAGTGACATTATTTCACTAGGTTTGCTGTGAAACGTGTTCTATAATTGGCCACCAAATCCAGACATTTTGAGCAGATGTATTCAAACTTTAAAAAGAGGGGGGTAGAAAAAAGGTCAGCTACTCCTAAATTATCAAACATGAGTTTGTCAGAATATATCAGCTGGAGACAAGTATCTTTACTCTCTAGGATAGTTATGTAAAAGAACTTGCTTAATAAATGGGGTAGGGTGAGACAACAAATCAAATATTTATTTTCAGTCAACAGCTATCATTGGCAAGCCTATGCAATTCCTGAATAAGCAGTAACTATGTAACAGAGGGCTGAATTTACTAACGTTGGCAGCTGTCCTCACAGATTTCTCATTAATATATTTGAATTCATTTTAAGGCCTTTCCTTAAATGAGAATGCACTGAAAAACAGACCCTTTTTCTCCTTCAGGTTCATCTTGTCTTTTCTCTTTAACATTATAATAGAAACTTTTTTTTTTGAGGAAGCAGCTCAGAGGAGATGATTTTAATCTAGATTAACAAATATCTTTTTTAATCCAGGGAACTTTTATTGAGTGTCCACTATGTGTAATGCAGAGTAGTACCAGGTTCTGGGAGTCCGCAGTGACCTCTATGCTCATTGTCCCCCTGAACATCTGACAGGGAGGAAAGGAGAGTTGTATCAAGAAATAAACAGACCTCCCCATGCCTGTGTCTTTCACCTATATTTCATCCACATACTCATCTTTGCTGTCATCTCTCCCATGAACCCCTCTTTGGCTGCCTTCGCCTTAACTGACTTTTTCTGTCTTCCGTCCTTCTGAATCCAACAGATTGTATCTGTGTCAACATGTATTTACCACTTATATCTTAGCTTGTCTAGACGTATAATTGCTTGAAACTTTGAAGAAGACCATAGAGGAATAAAGGGAGAATTTGGGGAAAATTTGAAGAAAAAGAAAGAGCCAAGATTCTGGACTCAGAAGGCTATGGGCAAATGATTTAATTTCTTTAAGCATCAGTTTTCTCATTTATAGTAAGCAGAATGCACATATTTCTTATAAGGGTTGTGAAAAATAAACAAGAGAAGGCATTTAAAGTGCTTAGCATAGTACATGGC